TCTTTGAAAATTTTAATTGTAGAATTCTTTGCCACGGTCCACATGTAAATTTCTAGGAGTGAGTTCTTTTTTAATATAGACTCCATTGCATAAGCAACATATACAACAGTTTTTTCTTTCACAGAAACTGCCCAAGCGTACTTTGAAAATATATCAATGACAGTTAATAGATATCGAAAGGCTTTGTTCTCTCTCGAGTAGCCTTGCATCTCTACAAGATCAGCTTGCCATGTCTCATCTATTCCACGTACATCAACTTTTCTACGGCGATAGTTTCGACGTGCTGGTTTATGTAACTCATCCACCACTCTTTGATGTTTCATTTCTATCTATTTTTTAAATTGATTTAAAAAGTCAAACGGTCCAATATTTATTTCTTTCTCCTTATTATTATTATTATTAATATTATGTTCTTCTAACTGTTTAATAACTTCTCGATGAATTACTAATTCTAATCTTATTGTATCCAATGATTTTATAAGATCATTTATCGTACTCGTAAGCGTAGTAACGTTAGATTCACTAGTTTTTCCCAACGTTCGTAAGTTTACAGCATCGTTACTCTCCTGAGGATCGGCTATATTACAAATTCTTTTGTCATTCGCGTCGTATTGTCCGTCTTCAGTGATTTTATACCCTACACCAGGAGGTCCTCGATGTCCCTCCTTTTTATTCAATATACGTCCAAATACATCAACACTCATTTTATTACTGAGCAATATTTAGAATTCTCTTGAACATATACAGCCAGCTTCACGTAATTCTTCAATAATTGAGTAAATTTCATTAACATGACTAGAATTACCGGCGGTTTGTTCGGCAATAAGCAATCTCAATCGACCAACGAGCTCGTTTAGATCATCCCAATATATATAATCAAATAATGTTCTTTTTCTAGCTATTTTATAGTTAGGAAAAAGACCTTTTCCATCAATAGTCTATTTTCGCTTCTTAGCGCTACTGCTCAAAGATAAATTTGGACCAATATACTTTTTGAATTTATTTACACGCTTATTGCGATATTCTCCATTTGTTTCGTATTTCTTTCCATGAGCGTTAGTGATTTCAAGAATTTTTATATAATATTCAATATCCAATGAATTGATTAATTTAGAATCAGGTTCTTTACGAAAGAGAAGTTCCATTAAACCAGCTGTCTTGCTTATGCTTTATCATTCACAGTCACGTTATCGTTTTGGAATGAAATTAGAGAATTGCCTATGACATATGTATTTTCATGCAAGCGAACACCAAATGTCTTGTCTAAATAACTTTTCTGCTGAGGTTCATGCAACAGTCGAACATAGTTTCCTACAATCGAATCATCCAATAACTGTTGTCTCTGTTCTGTAGTTACATTTGAACTACTTTTATTCAAATTTATAGCAGTTGTATCAAGTGATGATTCATCATCATCATCATCATCATCATCATCAATAGAAATAGCAGACTCAAATGTAGTATCAAGCAATTGCAATGTAGAATTTAATTCATTAGCAGTACTATTGAACTATCTAGATTTGTAGGGAGTGTCAGCTGCTACTTCTGACTTGAAAACATTATTGAACGCGATTTTCTTTTACTTTTTCGTTGGCTGTTCAGCAGTAGTAGTAGTTGTAGTAGCGTTACTTTTATCAGTAGTTATCTCTACGAGTTTCTTCAATGGATCAACCATAGGTTTAAAAGTTTCATGCAATGTCTTTTCTAAATCAGCTTTATCGCGTTTTATTAGTTGATACTTGCGCCTTACGGCATCACGAGCCATGGATAATTGCTCGAGCACCTTGTTTTCTCTTTCAAAGTCAGCCATGTTTACGCTTGTAATTTCTAAAGTTAAATAATCTTCATCCATTCACTCCTCTATATTTATAGTAAAAATATCAAATCCCTTTCTATATCATCCATGATTTATTGGTCCGTCTCTGTCGATAACTAAAAATCCATGATTATCGTCTCTCCAACATTTTGAACAAATTGCTTTAAACATCTCAAAAGACATATCTGAGTTAACATGATCATTGTAAATGTGCTTAATATTCACGTCATCTTGTTGAAACAAAACAAGTAAATTCACATTACCTGGAATGAGATGCTTCGGAATGCGAGCGTACGATTGACAGAGATAGAAACTATTTACTTTTTTATGTCTGCCCATATAGAAGAATGCTCTTACGTTATCTTGCTTCTCAGTAGCTATATCGTTAAAAATTATGATAGAATTTGGTCGTGTTTTATCTCGTGAAACAACTGTCTCATGGTCGCTGAAAGCATGATACTCTATACCATTAATAGGCTCTAATAAATCTTTCAAAAATTTATATTTAGGATGATTAAGGGATTTTGAGTAGATATATACGTTTTCAAATCTAAGACTATTAGGATGAGCGATTAATGTTAATAAACAATTAGTTTTTCCATAATTACTAGGTCCACGGAAAATGGCACGGATACTATTAGGCAATAGTTCGCCATAACTTTTTTCTTGTTTTTCCGTCTCTACCACTCTATCGAAGATAATGACTTGAAGCTTAAGAGGCTGTTCTTTGAAATCCATATTGTTTACTCATCATCAACACCTCAACGAATGAGTTTGTTAGGTATAAAAATTTTGCTTATATATCTTTTATTTCATTAACATTCTGTCTTTGGAAGAAGTTTAATCACGTACTATAAAAGAAAGACTGGTGGTGATCTAGTGAACAAGATTATAAATAACTTGCCTATTGAAGCTTACTTATCTGGATATTAGTATTGTGGTCCTGGTACAAAATTGAACAAACGATTGGCACGTGTAGATCCTGGTAAAAATCCACTAGACGTTGCTTGTAAAGAACACGATATTGCTTATGCGCAAAATCTAAAGGATATTGCGACAAGAAATAAAGCTGATGAAATTCTAGCTAAAAAAGCTTGGTAAAGAGTCCAAGCTAAAGATAGCAGTTTTAGTGAGAAAGCAGCTGCCTTCACTGTAGTCAACATTATGAAAGTTAAAAGTAAACTTGATATGGGTGTCGATATGAAGAAAGGTTGCAAGAAACGAGGTAGAGGATTTAAAAAACGCCAAGCACTAAAGAAATGTAGAAAAATCAAAAAGCCGTCAGTCACATTGAATAAAATTATTAAGACGGTCTCGAAAAGTATTGTGCCTAACATTCGAGCTCTTGTAGTTATTCGTTCGGCTATAAAAGGAGCCAAAGAAGCTGTGAAAAAGGCTGGCGGTAAAAGTAAAATAAATATACCACGTATTTTACCTATTCCCAGTAAAGTTGGTAGAGTGCTTCCTGTTTTAATTCCATTATTTGCTGCTTTAAGCGACACTGGAGCTCTAGCTGAAGGAGCTGCTTCAATAGCAAAAGCCGTTAACAGTGCTAAGGCCGCTCAAAATTAATTGAAAGAAGCTCATAGACATAATAAAACTATGGAAGCTATTGCTATTGGTAAAGGACTTTATTTGCAAATTTCTTTTAAACAAACTATAGAAAAGACGAGTAGTATATAAAATACTCATTCAAAGAATGACTATCATTTGATATGAATCTGTCATGAAGAATACACTGACATTGAGTCTCTCGGGAACATCATCCGTACTCGAAACATATTATTTTCCACCGATCGAATTGATACCAAACAAAAAATACATTCTTGGTTTAGTTGAGTTATTAACATTTAATTCAATACCAAACATTGACGTTGGTTATAATAAGTTTTACATTGAAGGTCAAGAAGCTATCACTTTACCGACTGGTAGCTGCGAAATAGAAGATATTGAAAGCTTTCTCAAAGAAGTATTAGCACCTAAAGGGATATCATTTAGCCTGAAACCAAAGAATAATACTTTACGTAGTGTCATTCAGTGCATTCAAAAAATACATTTTGAACCAGTAGATTCTATTGAATCAATTTTATGCTTCACTAGACGTACTCTCGTTGAAAACGAAACACATAGTTCTGACTTACCCGTCACCATTCTCAAAGTCAACGCTTTACATGTAGAGTGTAATATTACTACAGGCTCTTACATAAACGATCGCAAAGTACATACTATATATGAATTTTTCCCAGCAGTCCCACCTGGATATAAGATTATAGAAGTTCTCTCTCACGTCATTTACCTTCCAGTCGCTGTGTGGAGCATTGATCATTTTCAAATTCGTATAGTTGATCAAGACGGAAACCTAGTTAACTTTCGAGGAGAAGTCATCACAGTGCGAATACATATTAGGGCTTCACGATATTCGATAAAAAATATCGGTATCGTATCGTATCGTATCGTTTTCGATACAATATCGATACGATATTTAGGTTGGCTAGATCGATAACGATACGATATGAATATTAAAAACTATTTCGTTATTATCGTATCGACGATAAATTTTTTTCGATATTATCGAAAATATCGAAATCGACTTGAAATATTCATTTTTCGCGGCAGACTCTGCGGTGTTTGCATGCGCATTTGTTTTTTTTTTTTTTTTTTTTTTCATGTCAAAACGCGCATGGCCAAAGAAAGATAGGTCGCGCGCGTCGTCTGCTGACATGCTTGATCGGGCTTGTTCAGACGCGAGCACACTCGCGCGACGCATATTAATATCCGAAGTTTCTTAGTTTATAAGTGGTTTTTATAATAACAAATTGTCCGATTTGTAGTAATGGGCACATACCCCGTCTCAACATACATGTATTCAATGTAATAAGTTCATTCACTTGCATGAAAAGTGCTCAAAATCAATCGATGGTCAAGAAGAAGGCTCTGGAGAAAGAAGACTGTGTTTCGATTGCGATCGTCGTAAGTATTTTACATAAAACTGGAAGATATATATGAATAACAAATAACTAAATAATAACAAAAATTGATAGATAATGCAGAGATAGTTCAAACAGACTTTTTCGAATCAGAATGGAGTGAAATAAAATCGTCTGCCGAAATATCTACAAAATCGCATGCTGCCGATGTTCACAAAAATGTCAGCTCCCCGTCTAAAGATGTTTTTCAAAATACTATGTCAGACCAATCAGAAGAAATCCTGAATGAATCACACGATATAAAGCCATTAATGAAAAATTATTTTGATTACAATAAAATAGAACAAATTAAGCATGGAATGTGTTTACTTTGCGGAAAAAATTCTAAAGGGAATTACAAAGTTTGTATACCAATGAAAGGCAGCAATACCAGTGGATTAAAATCTCACATTCAACGTCACCATAAAAAAGAGTATAAAAGATTATTTCCATCTAATACACTGAGTACAAGTGAAACATTGAGCAACATTAAATCTCAAAGGACACTGGACTCATTGTTAAAAGTAAGTTTTTATAAACATTTTTACCGAAACAATCTATGTTTTGCGACCGGGATGCATACGCTTCACGCGTATTCTAATCCTACTTCCGATCTTTAGGTATACTTTATCTCTCTCTCTCTCTCTCTCTCATACACACACTCTTCTACTCTTCTCACCACGTGACTCACTCTCATCAAATCACATCACGAATAAAAAGCATTCACTTTCTCATTTCTTAAGAATGATGTGACAAATTCATTTTTATAAGTACAACACGTTCTACTTGTTTAATTATTTTTTACATTAATAATCGTATAGAGATAACGAGGGAAAATAAAAGGCGAATTTCGAACGTTCATAATGTGAAATGTAGACGCACCGTGGCCAGGAAGTTCGCGATCGTAGTATTCGTTTGATACCTGGCAGCGTTTCTGTATTTGGCTTTTGTTGCACATGCAAACATATATCACATCATATATAATTAATTTCTTCATGACCTAGGAAAATTATATACTAATTTTTCGAAGTTTTATTACATGAAAAATTTTAATAATAAATATTTTTGTTTCAGGATTCAGGCAAAAAAGTAGATAAAAATAGAATGATAGTAACGTGGTTATCATTTAAAAATCTGCCTAAAAATTTTTTTGATGATATGGAGACACAGAATTTTGTTGCCTTTATCAACGACAAATTTTCTGTTCCTAATAAATCTCAAGCCAGCATAATGATAACAGAAGAATTGAAAAAAATGCAAAATAATGTCAAAGAGTTATTAAGAAAAAATGATTCTAAATTTGCTTTTACTTTAGATGCTTGGTCAGGAAAAACAAGAAAATCTTATTATGGAGTGAGTGTACATTATATTACTGAAGAATGGAATTTACGCTCCTTCACTCTAGATTTTGTGCCATCCAAAGGAAAGCATTCTGGTGCAGATATAGCTCGAATTTTCTATAACATTTCAAAATTCTACGATGTAACAGATAAAATAGCAGGAATAACATTGGATAATGCGTCTGCAAACACAACTTTTATTTCCGAATTAGGTCAATTACTAAGAGATGATGATATTGATTTTGATATACAAGACCAACATTTTCGATGCCTAGCGCACGTTTTGAATTTATCAGTTCAGGATATCTTGAAGTTAATGAAAATTAGCAGTGAAAACGTAGATGACTCTATTGAATATTCTGAAGGAGAAAATTCAGATATTTCAGATGAAGAAAGCGAGGATTTTCAGTTAAATGATTTTTCTATAGCGAATTTAATTAGTAAAATACGACAATTGCATCGTAAAATAAGAAATTCAGAAATACTTTCCACAAAGTTGCAAAGCTGTTGTAATGCTTTCGATGTAAAATTCAAAAAACCTATTTCTGACTCGTAGACGAGATGGAATAGCACGTATGACATGCTACAAACTGCTGTTCAAATGAAAGATGCTTTAAATCAACTTTGTAAAAAAAATGATACATTACAGGCCAACACATGAAATTCTTCAGAATGGCTTCTTCTAGAATAGTTAATCGCCTTTTTGAAAGATTTCAAAAGTGTATTAGAAAAAATTAGTGGCGAAAAGTACGTAACATTACCGACTGCTATAATTTTATTTAATTGTTTATTAGATAAAATAGAAGTAAAATCATTCAAATTAGATCAAAAAGAAAACAGAAGTCAAATTGACGAAAAATTGATTTTAGCGTTTCAAAAAGGCAGGGATAAGTTGATTAAACATTACCACAAATGCAATTGGGTATATTGTGTTTCTCTAATATTAGACCCTCGAGTCAAAGCTGCTGGTTTAAAAGCAACGAAGTGGGGTCGAGAAATGTTAGATCAGACACTTGATAAATTTAGATGTCTATACCAAACATACAATAATCATTATGCAACAGCTGATTGTGAAAGGCCGTCAATCAAAAAACAAAAAATCCAAGAAGACGATTCTCTTGATTTCGATGTTCTTTTCGTTAAGTCTCAAACTTCAATTTCTACAGAAAAAGAAATTAATGATTATTTAGAAGCGCCCAGACGTGCCTCGAATACTGACATATTGATATGGTGGAAAACATATTCGAGTGTTTATCCAATAATATCGCGTATGGCGAGGGATATAATCTGTATACCAGCAACGTCCGTACCAGTGGAAAGGCTATTCTCTGAAGCAGCTTTAGTTTTAACAAAAAACAGGTGTTCTTTGCAAGACGAAAGTCTTAGAGAGTTAATATGTATTAATAGATGGATGCACAGTGCATACAGAAAGGAAATTTGTGAGGTTAATTTATAATTTTTTATTATTTTTAATGTTCATCATGTATACAGACAACTGTATTAGTTTTAGTATTTATTGAAATTATTAATAATAATATATTGATCAAGCAAACGTGATAAAAAAGGACTTCGTTCTAATAACTTTTTTTTTACCTACAAACTCCGCAATAAAAAAAAAAGACCGGTTTGATCGATAACTTATCGATAATTTATCGACTATCGTATCGATTTCGATACAATACGATAATTTTTTTTTAAATATATCGTCGATATCGATACGATACGATATAGAAATTATTAATCCGATACGATTCCGATATTTAACATAATTATCGATATCGTATCGTATCGCGAAGCCCTAATACATATAAAGACCATATCTTAATAATTGGTATCATTTACAATATAAAGACCGGTCGAGGCTATATTAAGAGACAACAATGCCAATCAACAACCAGTCAACAGTGAGCTATCAGACCGCTCACACCTCAGAACATTCAATTCCTGAAAAGCTTGAGACTAAAAGTCGTCAAAAATCGTGGAAGAAAATATTGTTCATATTAGTGTGCCGTATACGACAACAAAATGGACGGTATTCTAGACATCCATTCAGGTGTCCCTTTCGATGAGTCTATAGCTCATTATGAAGTTTATGCGCATCAGCCTTATTCATTATCATATTTTAATAATAATGATGAAATCCATATAGCAATTCAACATTAAGATTTATCTCTGCTTCCATCACGCAGTATTATTCATATTTGTGGTCGGTTGACCAATCCGAACGGTACAACACCAGGGTATAACACTTTATTAGTCAACAACGCCCTCTATCATTTGTTCGAGGAAATACGATATGAAATTGATTAAGTGAAAAATGTCGGCTTAACGAACCGTATGAAAAATTGTCTTTCACTCAATCTATGTCAAAGCTCTATCGCTGAAAATACCGGTTGGAATGGTGATAACAACAAAGTTTTGATATGTAATGCTCTAGGTTATTTTCATGTGACTATCCCTCTCAATATGTTACTGGGCTTTCCTGAAGATTATCGGAAAATTGTAGTCAATGTCAAGCATAAACTTATTCTCACAAGATCAATAGATGATTTGAATGCTATTTTAAGCAAACCAATAGGGAATCCTATTGCTTCAGAAAAATAAAAAATTACTTCAACTAAGGTGGAATGGTTGATATCATACGTGATGGTTGCCGACAAAGAAAAAATCAAATTACTCAATAAGATTGGACTAAATCGTGCAATTACAATGAGTTATCGTACTTGGGAAATGTATTAGTATCCAAAATTACCTCGTAGATCAAAGCATGTTTGGAGTGTTAAGATTTCCAATCAATTGATAAAGCCTCGGTTTGTTATTTTAGCTTTTCAAACTAAACGTAAAAGTTCAGCGAGTGTTAATTCTAGTAATTTTGATCATTGTAATATTAGTAATGTGAAACTATTCCTCAATCCACAGTGCTATCTGTATGGAAATCTCAATTTAAGTATCAATCAAAATTAGTTTGCTGTTCTGTACGAAATGTATACTAATTTTCAAAACGCTTACTATGGTAATGAAAACGAGCCGTTACTCAATGAAAAGGATTTCATTGATAAAGTGCCGCTAATAGTTATAGACTGCTCCAAACAAAATGTAACATTAAAAAGCGCCCCAGTCGATGTTCGCCTAGAATTTGAAACTCGAACCGATTTTCCTGAAGATACTGCAGCCTACTGCTTAATTTTATACGATCGTATTGTACAATATAATCAAATTGGTGGTGATGTTAAAAAATTAGTTTAAAATTAACAAGACATTATGTGATCAATGTACACAATGCTTTCTAATAAAAAAATAAAATTATATATATATATATATATATTGTTAACATTTAATACAAACTACCTATAATCATAGAGAGAGAGAGAGAGAGAGAAGCATCCACACAATACGGCGTACGCACCTAGCAAGCTAGAGACGCTACCCCCTCTCCGAGGGCCCGAACTTAACCAACATAAGCTTACTATACTCCCTACTATAGACGGAGAATGAGAGAGACCATCATATAGCTTACTAAATACCCTACCAACTTCTACAGCATCATATCTTAACAACCTTTGTAGGTGGATGTGGGTGGGTGGGTAGGTGAGGGTAGGTAGGTGGGTGGGTGTGGGTGGGTGGAGTAGGTGAATGGGTGGTTGGGGAGGCACTCTGTCGGAGGGCCCACTGGCAGATCCTAACAACGGTGATGTAAAGAAATTAGTTTAATATAGTTAAAATACTCTCTAAATAAAATGTAATTATTACAATTAAATATAAGCTAAACAAATTAAAATGTATAACATACTATACATTATGTTAAATTTTATGAATAAAAGCATTCAATTCTAAATATATGTCTTTACTCAATACCTAATTATAACAGTATATGTAACTCTCTTTCTAGCTCTGGCTTAGCGTGAACCATAGTATGCATGCTGTCTATAGTTCTAGCTTGGGGATGCGCTACTATAGTAGTAAATGGGTGCTCTCTCTCCCTTTCTTCTTCGCTTGAGTTAACATCTCTAGTATAGAAGTAAACTACTGTTCTCCAAGCTAACTATAGCTACACGCAAGCTCTATAGGGCTCTACACTGTATGCTACTTATTATAAACATCGCACGTGTTCTCGCATAAGTAAATTAACATATTATTGATTTTTTAATTTAATTTATTTTATTAGTTTTCATTTATAAACTTTACAAAATTTACATTTTTTTTTATATTATTATTATTTAAATTTTTTGATCTGACGACCTTCGAGGGGCGAGTAGGTTTCCTCACTGTTGGTTGGACCGGAATTAAAATAACTTTTGGTAGAACACACTCGACATTCTTCACCAACAGAATTTTTTTCTGTAAAAAAAAATTTTTTAATTATTATTTTTAATTTATATTTATTAATTATTTCTATAATTTAAGTACTTACAATAGCAGACAAATCGAGTGTTATATCGACTTGTGCATCTTCTATTTGACAGCCTGCGGATGTTGCTGTAGATGATAACGATGAGGAAGCAACGTGCTGATGACGATGACGTCGCTGGTGGTGTTGACATCATCGAAGATGGTACATTATCCTGATTCACCATGATGGAGGTTGTTAATGGTTCAGCTCTCTCATTTATGCTGGAAAGCCTTTGCTTAATTTTCGCAGCAAGTTCGTCTTTAGCTAAGTCCGCGTTCCGTTTCCGCTTCAATCGAGCGGATTCTTGTTGCTTCCTCATAGCGTCCGCACGTTTACGTTGCTCCAACTTCACTTTCACGCGATCATTGACAATCTTGTCAATTTGATACGCGACTTGTTGCGCCATCATTCTAGCTGCAATGGATTCCTTGATCCTCTGAAAAAAGAGAAAAGACAATTAAATATTAATTAAAAATATAAATTGATATAATTTTATAATAATACTCACTTGTTGAACAATCGCCTTTATTTGTTGAATTTACAGAGCTTGAGGACTGCTCTCGTCTACAAATCGTTGTAACTGAAAAATAAATGATATATAAAAATAAATAAATAAATATATAATGAGAAAAAATACTTACAGTTATTAATATTATAATTAATAGCCGATATAACGGCTCTCTTGCTACAGTCAGAATGGTAGGATTAGTAAGCTGAAATTGAGTAATAACATTATTATTAAAAAAAATTCTAAAATTTATTTAAATTATTTTTATATTATTTAAAAATTATACTTACATTTTCTAAAAATTGACACGCTCTGATGATGTTGTCAATTTTATTTTTTATTAAATAAATTTATAAAAAATATAAAAAAACTTACTAAAATGTTTAAATAATAAAGGATCACCACTTCACTGTGAACAGCTTGAAGTTTCCCTTAAGACTAACCAACGAAAATCCTACCGAACGCTCACACTATTATCAGGTACGATTTTTTTCTACAATATACGTAACGCTACAAACAAACGTAGACGTTCTTTGAGTGAGATAGGACGTTTGGCGTGCCCTTTCCCTCCCCATGTGGGCTAGAAAGTTTGCCAATTTCTAAAAACTTCATAAATCTTGAGCGACGTGCCGGTGACTTTATGGTCATCCGCAATAAA